AAAAAAAAAAGAATAAAATTATTATTTTTTTCTTTAGAGAGAAAGAAGAGACATCAAGGGATAACTGTTCACTGGCAATAACAGCTAATTGTTGTAGAGCTAACCGTTTGCGCACATATTATCTCATTTCCTGAGTGATCACAGGGTTAGAGGCCAGCTCAGCTGAGAGGATGCATGGAAATGCTGATTGCCCTCAGCAAGAAGCAAAGCTGCTGGAGATCTAGAGGCTGGGCAGCTACACTGAAGGCTGGGACCCACCATCAAAACTGATAAATCTATGTGTGCGTTTTCTAGGACTGCAGTTTCAGACCAAGGCTGTAAACAAAACACTACTTTAAAATTCCTTGTCAGTATTTTCTTTTGACTTCCAAATCTACTGGGTTTCCCCTCTTTATTGATTTCCATTGTATACTTACAGCACCGTGAGTGAATTGCATGACAGAAAGGTGGACTTCCTAAGATGTTTTATCCCGTTGCCTTCCAAATCCCTAAAAGGCATGGAGGAGAAATATTTTTAATGTTTTTGCACAAATCACATGTCTACAGGCACTTTTTGTTGATATAACAGTTCTGAACTTTATTTTTTCCTCATTCCGATTTTTATGCTTTCTTCCTAATTATTGTAGGGTTAATAATATAATTAATATTATGCTTCTTTTCCCCTTCCAATTAATATTCAACTTAATAAAATTGAGGGAAAGGGCAGCCCAATATTTCATGAGTGTCTCTCTGTGCTAGATACCATGCTATTAATTATCATTATATTGCTACTATCATAGTGGTAACTACCATTTATTAGACTTCTATGGTGTCAGGTACTGTTCTGAGTGCATAACAGCATTCCTGCAAAGTTGGTATTATTTCTCCCCCTCCTCCCCACCCATTTAACATATTAGTAATGTGAGGCTCTTGGGAATTCACTTTATTTCTGGTCACACAGCTGGTAAATGGTAGAATTGACCTCCTAACCCAGATCTGTCTGTATCTAAAGCCTAGACACTAAACCATGGCATCATAGATCCTTATGTTCTCACATTCCACTGACATCACGTAGATACTTTCATCTCTATTTTGCTAAAGGAGAAACCCAAGCAAATTTATCTTCCAGATACTGAACACCAGAGTTAGGATATGTATCCATTTGCATGATGGAAAGTGACTACTCTTTCTTTTATTTTGTTTTTGTTTTTTGTTTGTTTTTGGTGCTGAAACCCAGAAACGAAATGACCGATCTCTCCACCATGCCTCTGAGATCCTGCCGCTGGGTGTATCCCTGCTCCAGTGTGGCTGGGACAGCCCTTCGCGTCACCTGGGGACTTCTTAGAAATGCAGACTCTCGGGCTCCACCCCAGTCCTTAGGACTGAGGTCTTTTTTTTTTTAATTCCACTATAGTTAACATACAGTATTATATTAGTTTCAGGTGTGCAATATAGTGATTCAACGCTTCCATACAACACCTGGTGCTCATCACAAGTGCCCTCCTTCATCCCCATCACCTAGTTTCCCCATCCCCCCACCAAGCCACTCTCTGGTAACCATCAGTTTGTTCTCAATAGTTAAGAGTTTGCTTCTTGGCTTCTCTCTCTCTCTCTCTTTTTCCTTGGCTCATTTGTTTTGTTTCTTAAATTGTACCTGTGAGTGAGATCATACGGTATTTTTCCTTCTCTGACTGATTTATCTCACTTAGCATGATATTCCATCCATGTCATTGCAAAGGAACTGCGGTCTTAACTAGTCCTCATGTTGTTTGCGATGCGTGCTGACACTGGAGAAGCACCGGCGGAATGATTACATCCTGCTGGTGATCCCTTATGGCAGCGGCATCCCACCATCAGGGAACCCCCCTTGGGAGCACTCTGACATTACCACTCCTAGCAGCACCAAGGAATGAGACAGAGGCAACTTTCCTGCCAAGTCTCCTAACTTCTTTTTATAGTCTGCTTCCTATAATCCTCCATATATATATGACAATAGCTATTTTGCTGCTTCTGAACATTTCTCACATTAACACTAAAATCACCAATCCTTTTGTCATTCCCTTTTAAGTTTCATTTTATAGCCATCCAGGTGGTCTTGTAGGAACTCGATGTTTTTTTCAGCCTTAAAATACTGTGATTAAAATAATAAACACTATATTCTCTTAAAGGTCCAAATATGGGGCACCTGGGTGGCTCAGTCTTTAAGTGTCTGCCTTCAGCTCAGGTCATGATCCCAGGGTCCTGGGATTGAGCCCCACATCAGGCTCCCTGCTCGGCGGGAAGCCTGCTTCTCCCCCTCCCACTCTCCCTGCTTGTGTTCCTGCTCTTGCTATCTCTCTCTGAAATAAATAAATAAATAAATAAATAAATAAATAATTTTTTTTTTTAAGATCCAGATATTGTTAAATGGAATGGGAATAAATGTTTTTACATTTCACAGGTATAACAGTAAAGAGTTGAGAGCATAGCCCTACTGATGGCAAGTGATGGAGGAGAAGCCTGGCCAGGGCAGTTTTTTTTTCCTTATGGGGTTTTTTTGGGTCTGACCTCTCAGTTCTCTGCCCTCTTGGTTTAAAGGCCCTTTTCCATGTGCAATCAGACTATCTTACTAACAACATATTTTCACTGGATGTCTACATTTTTCCCTAGTGTTTGAAGGAGCCTTGAGTGACCATGAGTATGCCAGAACCCAGGGTTTTGACAATGGTTCCCGATCTCCTCTTGGTTGCTGATGTCCATTTTGGGGAACAGGCCTGGGCCCTGATCTTTTTCTGCTACTTTCACCCTTTCCTGTTTGCTTCTCATTGTGCAGATGTGCTCATGTGTTTTCTAAGTTGTTTTTTCTCACCTATTCTTAACAAGTTTTATTCTCATGTTCAGACCATTATTTCCCTTTCGGCAGTGGCACATCTACGTAAGACCTCTATTGCCTTAAAAGTATTGTGGTAACAGGTATATAAATAATAAATAAATAAAGAAATAAAGAAATATAGAAATGTATGTCAGTAAATAAACACAAGGGCACCTAACAGTTGTAACAAGTAATTGTAAGGCTAGCTCAGAAAGGATCAAAAGCTGAGACACTACAGTTTTATCATCTTATGAGTATTGAGTCCCCTGATTTAACAATGAGGAGAGTTCCAGGGGGCAGTACAATCAGCATTTCACAGGGCAAGGGATGTCTGCGTGGGACAGTACAGCCTGTCTCAGGAGACTGTGAAGATGAAGGTGGCAGGAGTGGGGAGTAGTGGTAGTGAAGCCATTAAGTAAACCAACTAAGTGTTTAAACAAGTATTGGTTCAAAGTTAACAAGGAGTGGAAATGGTTTAGCACATTAGTTTCACAAAGGTTTTTGAACAGTTATTATGTGCTGGTCATTGTACCAATGCTGGGATATAAATCCCAAGGGGGGTTTCTGCCCTAGTAGAATTTACAGAGCGGTAGGGGACAGACAAGTAAACCGATGGTTCTGTGATAGTGATAGCAAGACAGGTGTGCCGTGTAGGGACCAGGTGGCATGGTGGACGTCTGTCCATAGTGTAAATAAAGGAGGCAGAGAGGCAGGCAATAAAATTGACTGGCATGTCAGGGATGGCCTCCTGGAGGGGATGTTTAAGCTGACTTTTGAAGGAGATGTTGGAGTTAACCAAAAGAATAAAGGAGCAAGATTTTCTAATTGAAGGAATAATATGTGCCCGGGGAATTGATTATAGCAGTTTGGTGCATCTGGAAGGAAGACTCGTGAGGAGGAGGAGCAGGGTAGTAGACTATATGGAGGAAGAGATAGAAAATGGGGGGCCTTGGGTGCTCCAGGGGCAAGTCTGAATTTGACCTGCACACCCAGTGGAATTCTCAAAAGATTTTTAAACCAGGAAATAACATAATCGGATTTGGGTTTTGGAAAGATCACCAATGGGCTTTTTATGTAATCATGAATTAACTTCAGGTCTAGTTTCCTTAATCTGGATGAAGAACAAATTAGCTCCTAAATGCATACTCACATCCAGTTGAGATGAGGCATTTGGGCACACATCTGTTTGGGAAGGGCTTCTAAGTGGTTATTAACCATAGACCTTTACACAAAGAAGATGTTAATTAGAAACAAAATGATATGCCACTTTAAGAACAGCATTTTTACTATTTCCACAATTTGGAAACTTGCATGCTAAAATCAACACATCCGGATAAAGAATACAGACATAACTACCTCTTCAAAATGATCTCTAGATATGCGAACGGCACGGAAAAGGAGGCAGATGTCAAAGAAACTATGAACACAAAAGTATGATATATATAACCTGGGAATAAACATTGTACAGTTTAATTTTATGAGATGAAACAAAAGTATATATTGAGTAATAATTTTGAAGTTCATGGTAATTTTCCTTGTAAACTTCAAATTTGCAATCATTTCTAGCATCCTACATCCAGAGTTTTTTCTTAAGGGAAACATTAATCACTTACAGTATTAAAGGGCCACATCGCAAACTGCATTAAATCTAAGAAATGGTAGCAGGGGCTCTGGGGGAAAGAAAACAACCCATCAGCATGTTAAGCTGCACAATTAATTTATGATATTGTGGTCCCTTTTGACAGATGGAAAAATAATGATGCTATACGATCAACTATAAAGGAACATAATAATCCCCTGCTGATAAATCATTTCAGTGTATTAATAAACAGTGAGAACATAATTATGAGAACAGCTCTGTCAGTGGGACAAAGATTTTGGAATTTTTAGTGACTCTCGCTGGGCAAAGGCACATTTCCCTCTGTTAAAAATGTAGTCGGAGCTGAACTCCTGGGAGATTCTGATAGATTTAAATGTAGTTAGGAGATAAAAATGAATACTATCTTTGGTTAACCACTGCAAGTCAAACATGCCTTAGGATTAAAGGAAATTAAAGGAGATCAAAAAGCAATCAACCAGTAGGCTTAAAATATACCATGGCCAGGAAATCGCAACAGTAACTGTGGTTGGACATACAGGAAAGGTTTTGACTAATAAAAATGTTAGCAGGCTTGAGTTTTTTTAAAGCTCTTTTTTGTAAGCTAGTGTTAGATGTTTTTGCAATTTATAGACAGATGTATTGAAGGTTAGATGAACACTTACAGGAAAAACAAGGACTTTAATCCAGTAAACAACCTCTGTGAAATTCTGGTTATTGGATTGTCATCTAGAATTCTGAAAAAAACATATCACAAACATTTCCAGCATCAGAGACATTTGTGAAATAAAACCAGGAAACAAGAAAAGGCCCATGACAATCATGTCTCCCCCAACACCTGCTCTCTTCCTTCCTGCCCTTCCACACTTGGCCCCCATCCTCTTCCCTGAGAGCCCCTCCTTCACCCTGGCTCTTTCCTCCAAATTCTTACCACCCCCCATCCCAGCCCTTATGAGCTCTGTCCTGATTGTTTTCTCTGCCTGCTTCCACCTCCCATTGGACTTCAAGATCTGAGTCATACGCTTCACCTCTGTATACTTGGGTCCAGCACAAGCTGAATTATTAATTAGCTGAATACAGGCTTGGTGAATGCTTTGACCTACTGATTGAAGAGTGAATGAGGAAAAAAAATTCTTAGGAAATCACAAATAGTTCTTTGGTCTCATGGTGTTTACATGATGCATTTAATAAGGTCTGCACAAACAAACTCATTAGGAGCTTTGAGGGTGAAAGAGTGAAATATTCATATATTCAAATCATCGTTTCTAATGATATATGGTATTTTCCTAGAAAGAAATAGACTAAAGGGAAATATGCCTTCTTTTTTCTTGTGCCTTTGAAACCAGGGGTCCCTGAGGGTAAGAGTTGAAGAAGAGAGTGACACTGGGCACCTACTATATGCCAGGAGCTCTGCATGTGGCAGTTTATACATGCCCTGTGATTTAACCTCACAACATTGTTCTTAGAAAGGAACTGTGATTATAGTTGACAGATGAGAAATTCGGAAAATTAAGAAAGTTGCCTGGAACATTAAGCATAGGACCACGGCATACACAGGATCTGGATGAAGTTGAAGTTCTGGCTTTTTCCATTAGGCCAGGCCAACCTATAGAAAATGGGCAAACTGACACATAGACCCTTCTAACTGCCTGACGTTCATTTTCCTGATGAAAACACAAACGCCTGATGTGAGAGTCCTCAGTATGGAGCTGGTGGCTCAGCCTGGAAAGTAATGAAACACCACAAACTACCATATTTTCAGACTTTTCTATGAATGTTCTGGAAATCAAAAAAGCCCTTAACTTGCTTTACTTTCTAGGTCAGGGGACATTTGAGAATGTCTGGAGACATTTTTGGTTGTCATAACTCTGGGAATCAGGACTACTGTCATCAACTGGGGTAGAGACCACAGGTGCTGCTAAACATCCCAAAATACACAAGAACACCCCCCTCATCAAAGAATTATCTGGATCAAATGCCAACAGAGCTGCGGTTGAGAAACGCTGGAATAGGTAAACACTGGCTGGACTCAGGAAACTTCCTGAAAAAGCATGGCACAGATTTCTTTGCACATAACTACCATTTGGCATGCCGTTATCTGAATTGCTTGGGTAAAGTGCTCCAGATTATGTGACAGTCAGAAAAATGAGTATAATAAACAAGATACATAAATAGATGGAAACGATAAGCATTGATGTATATCATCAAGACTGATCTTTTGAGGGGGAAGGAAAAACTAGACTACTTACAGCCAAGTTAGCTGATGTAAGTCTTTGAATACTCCGGGTCTGAGAGCTGTGATGCAGTTGTGGTTGAGATACCTATAAATAGCATGCGCAAGTCAATTAGGCAAACTCAATGCTCCATTTTAGTCACATATAATCAGAATATGAGCTGCTGCTGATGATTATGGAGTATGGACATCTGTCTCTGAAAGCACCCAACTGGATAAGAAGAGGGGAAGACATCAAGGAACAACTAGGAGATACAGATAACAAGCCTAGTGTGTGCAACACCAGGGCAAGGACCAGCAAAATGGCCAAAAGCAGTGTGTTGGACTATTATATTTTTTAAGAGTATAAGAGGAGGTTATTCTTGCTTTTGTCCTTTTTGGCGACATCCTTAGTAGACTAGCATTTTAAGAAAATATATAGGTAAATTAGCGAGGGTTAGAAAAAATAAAATGCTAAAATATTGTGGAAATGACCCAAACTTGAGAAGACAAGGTTAAGGAGAGCCTTTGTAACTGGTAAAACTAGGAATCTTTTAATAATTCTTTTAGCATAATAACTAATCTAAGTACTTCGTGATAACCGATTCCTCCCATTTCACTATAGCCAAGTTAAGCGTTCAGAAATGACCATTCTACCCTTCTAATCTTTACTTAAAATTGTACTCATAATTATAAAGAAGTTACTTACAATATTTGCAGGTTATGTAATCCAAAAAATGCTTCCCTGGAAATGTGTGTAATACAATTATGCTGAAGAAATCTGGTAGGAATAAGATAGAAGAGTCATGTGATTATGGTTTAGGTATTTTATCAAGTTGTTGAATGTGGTCTCCACTTCCTTCAACTAAAAGACACTTTGTGAAACTGGCTTATAAAGTCCCAAGTCCTATTTTTATGTTGAGCAGTAGAGGTGTTGCCCATGAGAGATGGCTGTGACCCTAGCCAATGCCCCCCCTGTCCCACTAGCACCCATGCAATGAGATTCGGACATCTCTGGTTTGCACCGCTGAGCTCGTGTGTGATGAGTTTGAGGAGCAAAGGGGTCTTGTTTTACAGTTTTCTTATCCTGACTTGCAAGAGATACGCCCCATGTGAGACCAACCAGTCTCACTGTTGAGCTTTATTTTTTTCAGCTCAGAGTTCCAACTTTAATTCCTCATTTCTCTTCATTCTATTCCCCTGGAAGAAGGAGAGGGCAAGTCTTATTCTTTTTTATTTTGAGATGCAGAGCAAGAAGTACAAAGGGAGTTAGTATGGTGCTCAAGGTCACAAATGGCATGAGTAGTTGAACCGGGGCTAGTACATCAACTTCAGCTCACAGGGTCATGATTTACTTAACCCCTGAAGCAATTTAGCAATAGAGTATTATTCAATAATATCTAAGTTGGGAGTATCTAAGTAAATAATTTCCATTTCCTGTGCTCATTATACAATGAGAGGTTAGCCTTGAATTCATATTTTCTAGAGGTATTTAGGAGCAGGAATTTTCCACTAATCATAGTAATTAATGACTACATAGTCTTTTGAATGACTTCCCTATCTCTTATTTTTATTTGCTTTGGTTCCTAAAATCTTGCACAACACCTTCTTAACTGTTATGATACTTCATTGCCAAACTATTCATAGAACATGTGCTCCTTTAGCATATGACTGTACTCTGAATTTTGTTACACTGTAACTATTCATTCTCTAGCAAAGGCATTATAGGTGTGCCAAGATATTAAAAACCTCAGCCATTCAGGTAGCTAGGTAAAGCGGAGATCAGTTCCCAGTTATCAGCGAACCCATCTATAACCCTAAGTGTTAAACAAATATTGTCATTTTCTCTGTGTACTACCGAGTGGAAAAGGCTGGTTCTACAGAGCACATGCATTACATCCATAGATACACAAAACATCAATTTCAATCCCACAAAGTAAACCTGAAACCTATGGAGACCTCATGTCTTTCCAACCCTCCTCCCCTGCACCATGTCTGTGAAGAGATGCTTCCCATTGCAGTATAAATTGTGCTTTTGGTTTTAAAGTTCTGCTATGAATAGAATGAATCCATACAGATCAATATCTGTTTTAGCATTTCAGAGCCCTTGAGTGATGTAATGAAAATTAAAATAATGAATTGTGTTACAACAATAAATGAAAACAGAAAAAGAATATAATACTATAATATAGGTATATTGAAGTTCCTCTTAAATATAAGATTTACCACCTAACTAGTGCGATTTATATTTTATTCAAGATAATGTATTCAAAAGTGGAATGCACATTTTACCTACATGCTCGCAAAATCTTGAAGAGATGGGCAGTCATAAATTTTGAATTTGACTCTGTGCTTTCAATCTGCATGACTCACTGGACATGTACAGCCTCTCTGCCTTCCCTGACATGAGCTGAGAATCCAACTCCTTAAATAATGAAGAGCCTCTAGTCTTCTGGTTTGACTTCAGTTTGCTGGTACTCCACAGAGAACCAGAGTCCCAAGTCCCCTGTCTCAGACTTAGGCTAGTGAATTTTAACTTGATCCTGTAGTATCCCCTTTCTTCTTTGCAGGATAGAAGCTTGGTGAATATGAGGGGAAATTTGGAAACATGACAATTTGGCAAGTGGTGTCCTCTTTTTATTCAGAGCTGAGATATGAGCCAATTTAATACACTTTACATTGAATGGCTTTTTAAGAATAACTTACTGGTTCATGAATTCCTGCTGTTTCAGCTGTCAGGACTTTTCAAGCAGAAACGCCAGGAATTTATGTACCTGAAACTAAAGCAAATAAATGCTTTAATGACATGCATGTTTATAGGCTATTTTTTAATGCAACATTTTGTATTCATGAGCCAGGCAGACTCCTTGAGCTACATTTTGTTGCCAATGATTGCCTTGAACAAGAACCATGTTTAAGAAGGAATTTCTGATTTATATAAGGTTTATGTTACAATGGCAGGGAGAACTGCTGTTGGTTTCCATGGTAGTGGTGATAAAGTATTACAGTCAATGTTATAAATTATATTTTATTTCTCTGTAAGGTCATCTTAAATTTCTTCCTCCCAATATTAGAAATTCTTGATATTTTAAAAGATTATTAAAATGAGTAATCTGATCAATAGTAAAAGCATTCAGATAAGTTGAACAACATTTATTCATCTGGCAAATAAGATTTCATTTTGATTTATAAATTTATTTTTCTGGATGCCTAAATGACCTCAATCCACTGAATATTTAGAGCTTTCTAGACCACAATCTCACTCAAAGTTAGATTCAGTGATCTCTTAGGATATATCCCAGTGCAGAGAAGGATGAGTTTGGTGTTGGTTCTGGGCAAGATCACAGAACAGGCTGTTTAGGACACTGCCTATGAACGCCTCAAAGAGAAAGTGAACAGGGGACTACACGAGAATCAGGGCATGTCAGACCAACTTGATTTTTTTCTTTGAAAAACTGATCAGTCCGACACAAACATGTGGCTGACATTGCTTATAGGTCTACCAGGCATTGATCAAATGGTTTTATGATGGTTTTATGGACAAAATAAAGAACAATGCACATTATTTTAAGGATGATGATGAAGGGCTCAGGAAACAGTATTTGACGCTATCCTCTTCAATATTTTACTTCATGATACGGGGAAAGATGGTTCATCTAATTTTCATATGACAGAATGCTGGGAAGAATAGTAAATATGTTGAATTTTCCAAAAAGTTCTTCACAGTCTGATAAGAAAAGCTGACTCTAACAAGATGAAACAGAATAGGGATAATTTATGGACCCACCACTAGCTCTCAAATGCCAAGTGCACAAATGCAGGATGGAGTAGCCATCACTTAGCAGAAACACCTATGGCGCAAGATTGGGAATTTTAGAAGCATGATCACTGACAGTTAAGGGAATGAAGTAGCCACCAAAAAGCAAATGTAAGCTTAGGGCATATAGAGTTTAGAAAGGAAATGTTGCGAGCTTTCTCCTGCCCTGCTTTGGTCATATCACAGTGATAATATTACATTTATTCTAAATACCTCATGTAAAGCAAATGTAGGTAAACATATACAGATTAGAGTGACCAGAATGTTGATCAGATATGAAACCAGGTCCTTCTGGGAGAGAATTCTGCTTGAAGAGACTTGTGGAACATGCAGGGTAATAACAGCCAGCTTTAAATATCTACACTTATATGGAGGGCTGATTGGGTGTGTTCTGATCTGTTTCACGGAGTAAGTCTAATAAAGATGGGAAGCTTTAAAGATGATAGTAGAGCTAAGTGACAGGACAAAATTTATTAACATATTCTTTGAAATTTCTTTTCCTTAGCATGCCCTCATTCCCTTCCTGGCTTATTTTTCTCCATGGCCCTAATCAGTATCTAACACACTGTGTATTTTCAATTTTATTGTCTATCCTCCAACTTTGTACCTTAAGCTCCATGAAGAGAGGCCTTTTCTTGGTGTTGTTTACAACTGTATCCTCAGTATGTGGCACCTTGCACGTATCAACAAATATTTGTTGAAAGAATGAATGAACATGTGGTTTTCTCAGCTTTTACCCTCCTGATGAATGCTACCAAGGATTCTGGGGGTTGTCCATTCCCTGGACACCTTCTCCTGGGGATGGTTTGGGTTTTGCTATGGTTATTTGGGCTATTGTAATGCAGAATAGGGAAGGAGAAGGTAAGAGTAGGACAGGAGAAGGAAGGGCATGTCTGAGGCTGGGGGTTGGAGAAGGAGTGGCAGGAGCTGCTGAAGTGTGGGAGAAAAGGGGCTGGGGTACTCATGAGCTCATGAGCTGCTTTGTGATATTCGAGTAATGCTTATAAAGAACTTGAGTTATTTTCAAATCAAAGTTTGGTTAATGGACGTTTTCATCATATTCTGAGTCTGGATCATGCAGCTAAGCTTCCAAAGGACCACAATCAGAGGTCTGGCTTTGAGGCCAAGCTCTAATACTTGTCAGATGGCTGCCTTTGGGCAAACAAACCCTCTTCTCCAGAGTAGATACCCTCATTTCTAAAAGGATCTCATGATGTCTGCCCCCACCTCACAGATTTTGGGGATTCAAAGTCCAAATGAGAATTCCAAATGTTGGATTCTTTGTAAACTTTAAAAAGTGTTATATAAATATAAAGAATTGTGCAGTATTTTGCCTTCAATAGATAACTTAGTGAGTATTTATTTATTTATTTATTTAAGATTTTATTTATTTATTTGAGAGAGAGAGAATGAGAGACAGAGAGCA